AGAATAGAATAGAATAGAATAGAATAGAATAGAATAGAATAGAATAGCTTTATTGGCCAAGTATGTTTTGGCAAGGAATTTGTCTCTGGTGCGTAAGCTCTCAGTGTACATGCAAAACAAAATAACAATAACCAACACAGGATAATAACTATAATACTTAATTAAATATTTAATTATTTAAAGGTAGGCCTTGACTTACAAGCCTTGTTTAGCAACTGTTCAAAGTTACGACGGCAGTGAAAAACGTGATTTGTGACCAGTTCTTGCGCTTATGACTGCTGCAGCCTTATGGTCAAGTGAGGAAAAGCTGGGTGCTTGGCCAACTGATATGTCTGCACTTCACATTTTTGAGCCCTGTCTGCTATTCTAAACCATGTTTTACAGCTTAGCAATCTTGGGTGAATCAAGCGAACCGTGGTTAGTCCTACGTAAGGTTACAGATCTAGATCGCAATGCCACAGTGCATTTTCTGCATTATTTCTGCTGCTCATCCTGCCAGCAGTTGTCCAGAGTTTTGCAACCCAGGCCTGAAAGTGGCTGACCAATCAATGCTTAATAATGTCTGAACGCAGCTCTACTAAGCGTTTAGCCATCTTCTCCAGTCTTTGGAAACTAAAGTCTGGCTTGTTCGATGGTGCTGTGTGTGGCTTGAAAAAAAGTTACTGGCATATTTGCACATGGCAAACCCCATTGCAAGGTAGGCTTGGCCTTTACCTTTTGTTGTGTGAATGCAGCAGCAACTCTGGTTAGAACGTAGAATTAACAGAGTTGGAAGGGACCTTGGAGGTCATCTAGGCCAACCCCCTGCTCGAGCAGGAGAGTCTATTCCAAATATTAGCCTCTAGCTAAGATCGAACTAACAGCCTCTGGATTGTGAGGTGCGGGGGAAGCCAAGGCTAGTTTGTGCTTTTTTAAAGTTGGCCAAGCAAAAAAGGCGCAAAAGAAGGGTACCATTTGTAGGAAGCCCCTTTTCCTAGAAAAATGAAATAGTTCGGGAACTATTAAACGGGGAAAAATTCTTAAGTAATTGAAGACTTGCCATCTCAAGGCTGCGTCTACTATCCGATCTCTCTCCCTCCCAAGTCTCAACCCCTTCCACAAGTTTCCTCGCCCCGCCGAGCGCCGCGTGTCCTCCGCCGGCTTCTCTCCAGCTTTGTCCCTCGCCTCGTCCCCACATCCACAGGCGATCCTGCAAGCGGTTTTTTTTTGCCAAGCGGGCTGGTCCCAAGGCTTGCCCCTCCACGCGCAAAGGAGCCCCGCGCCTCGCTGCCGGAAAGACACGTGTAAACTCTCTCTCTCTGTGTGTGTGTGTGTGTGTGTGTGTGTGTAAATACACGTGTAAAATGTGTGTGTGGTGTGTTTATGACACACACCCCAGCTCCCTCAACTTGGCGCCCGTCCCCAGAAGCCTCCTTAACTTCCCCGCTGCCTCTTTTTAAGTTGGCCATCTGGCCTCTCCATCTCCAACCGGGCGCCCGCAGCAAGGAAAGCCACTCGGGCAGGAGAGAGAGAGAGAGAGAAAACCTCCTGAGGCTTCTGCAAAAGCCCCCTCCACTCCGGCTGGGACCCCTTACCAGCGCTCCGGGTGGGAGGAGCGAGGGAAGGACCCCTCCCACCTATCGACCCCCCCCCCCAGCCCGGAGCGCGGTGTGTTTCGTGTGTGTTTTGTGTGTGTGTATGTGTTTTGTGTGTGCGTATGTGTATATCTATCTATCTATCTATCTCTCGAGAGAGAGGGAAGGGCGGGCAGAAGGAGGGAAGAGGAGAGGGGGGCGAGGAGGCGCCTGGGCGGGCAAGCAGGCTGCTTCTCGGCGCTCCCCGGGGAAAGGGGCGGGGCGTGGGCGGGGCCGGGCCAGGGTCGGTCCAAACCCCTCCCCCTCCCCCCCCCCTTTGCATCGCTCGCCGGCTGCTTTCGCCTCCTTTCCTCGAGGAAGCGGCAAACAGTTTGGAGGAAAAAGTGGAGCCGGCCGGGTTGGATGCGGCTGCCGACGCCGACGCCGAGCCAGGCGGCCGGGGCGGAGGGGTAGAGAGCATGGCCGTGTCTTCTCCCCCGAGCATTCCCGCAACTTCCAACCCCGGAGGAGGAGGAGGAGGAGGAGGAAGCAGCGGCGGAGCAGGAGGCGGCGGAGGCTGCAGCAGCACCAGCGGCGGTGGAAGCAGCACCAGCAGCACCACCAGCAGCAGCAGCAGCGCGGGGGGCTCGGCCGGCTTGTTCCGGCCGGACCCTCTTTATGCCCCCAGCCCCTCCGAGTCCCCGCGGCTGGCCGGCGGCGGCAGCTGCAGCGGCAGCGGCGGCGGGAGCCTCCTCCACGGCTTCATCTCCAACGCGGCGCCCGCGGGCGGCGGGGGGCTCTTGGGGGTCGCGGCCGGCGGAGGAGGAGGAGGCGTCGGCGGAGCAGCAGCAGCAGCGGCGGCGGCGGGGGTCTCCGGGGCCTCGGCGCCGTCGGGTCCGCTGGTGGGCAACGAGTGCAAGATGGTGGACCTGCACGGGGTGAAGGTGGCCTCCTTCGTGGTGGACGGGCAGGAGCTCATCTGCCTGCCGCAGGTCTTCGACCTCTTCCTCAAGCACCTGGTCGGCGGGCTGCACACCGTCTACACCAAGCTGAAGCGGCTGGACATCGCGCCCGTCGTGTGCACCGTGGAGCAAGTGCGCATCCTGCGCGGGCTGGGCGCCATCCAGCCGGGCGTCAACCGGTGCAAGCTCATCACGCGCAAAGACTTCGAAACTTTGTACAGCGACTGCACCAACGCCAGGTGAGCGCCGGTGTGTGTGTGTGTGAGTGAGAGAGAGAAACCCCTTCCCCGTTTGGGAACCGGGGGCAGAGAGGGAGAAAGCAGCCCCTTTGGACGCCGGGAAACAGAAGGGGTTAAAAAAAACCAAAACCCTCCTGGGCGAGAGAATTCGCTTCCGAACGTGTGAATGGGGGTTACGGGCGTGCCGGGGTGCTTAACGAGGGCACGCGAGAGGTCGCGCTCCGTGGCATGGGTCTCTTTAACGGGTGCTTTGGGATTCCCTCTCCACCGTCCACCCCCGGTTGGAAATTAGGAAACAATTCCGGCTAGCGGCTCTTGGCCTTTCGAAAGTAATTCACACGATATCATAGTAAACACAGGAAAGAAGGAAGGGAAGAAAGAAAGAAAGAAAGAAAGAAAGAAAGAAAGAAAGAAAGAAAGGAAAGGGAGGGGGGAGAGAGAAAGGAAGGAAGGAAGAAAAGAGAAAGAAAGAAAGAAAGAAAGCCTGCATCTCTTCTGGCATTTGGGACCTTTACAGGAGCCAGTCTGTGAAGACTTTTTTTGTGGGGGCAGGAAATTTGACACCTGGAATAGTGGACAAGTGGGGAGTTTAAGAGTGGGAAACTTCAAACCACCCCCCCTCTCCGCCTGTCTGGATTTGGAGGGGCTATTCATTCAGAGAAAAAGAAGATACTTTTCTAGGAAGTCCGAGGTCCCCCCACAATGGCTTTGTCTGGGGACAGAGAGACCCAAAACTTTCTGGCTGTGAAAATTTACGTGCCTTTGGGAAGGCAAGCGGGGGAGGGAGTCGAGAAGGGGTGAGGAGAAGGGAGGTTGATGGTGTGGTCCAACTTTTAAGCAAGTTTCTGGGCCGTAAAAAGACGCCTCTTTGAGTTGGTGCCCTAAGCTGGGTTGTACAAAAGAACTTTACTGAAGCTGGTTGCAAAACACAGGATTTGCCCGCCACTTATTAAAAACCCGTGCGCGTGGGAACAATGTGGAGCTACGGCCATGCTTTAAAAATAAGGGGGCATTTGGTTTCAGGCAGGGCTGTTTGCAGGACATATTCCTTTGCACTCTTGCCTGCAAGCAAGACACAGACTTTGGGATTTAAGGCCAGTTGCACATGATGCTTTAAAATAAGTTCCACTTTTTGCTTTTTTTTTTTTTTTTAAATATGCCTCTGGGTACTTTAATCTTGGCTTGGAAGGTCTCCTTTGCAACAGGGCATTGATGTTTTTGTTAGGGTGTCAAGCTGTTGAGTTCCACTTCAGTTTCCATATATTCACTTCAGAGTTATGAAGTTTAATCTTCTTTAAAAGATGCACCCTTTGGAGGGAAAGTTGACTATTGAGTAGAGAAATTCTTTGGGGGAAAAAAAGAGATTCAAGATTGCATTTAGCAGCAATATCCTAAACATTCCTACTTTAAAAACAACTTCTAGTGAGTTGACAAGGATCAATCTAGGCTGAGGACCGCTTCTATTTCTGTTAACCGCTTTCTCTGAATTTTGCATAGTGTATCTGCCCTAATAGAAAACTTGGTTGCTATAGAAACCGCTTAGAAGTTGATTGTATCCTTGGGTTTAAGGTCCTGGAGGTTGGGATAAAAGACTGCTGGACATGTCAGTGGTCATATCTTAGTAGTGGTAGATTCAAAGGTCCCCAGATTTTGGCTGGGTTCTCATGTGGCTCTCACCTAGCCAACAAGACAAACTGGGTTGCGATTTGAGGATCCTGCCATAAGGAAAAGATCCAAGCAAGGTTCATTCAAACTACCATCTGCTCTCTCAAGTCCTTGGCTGTAAACCCCAGAAGTGGGACAAACCTCTATTGGATGCTTGGTTCCCCCAGAGGGAAGTTGTGGTTGAATGAGATTATGTAAATAGCAGGCAAAAAAACGCCGGCAGCAAATTTTCTTAAAGGAAGGTGATCATATAGTAATATTGGAACTAATGTTGTTTGATGTCCTTACTGCAAAAACCTTTTGCAAAATTCATATGAGGGATAAGCGTCTGCTCAGTCAAAATGCAAGCAGGAAAATATGCTTTTATAAATACACAGAATAGAAAGAAGTAGGATTAATTCAAGGTTTTGATAATTTTTTTTTTTTTTGCTATTACAAATCAAACTCTGCATTTCTTTTATAAGACACCAAAAATACGCTTGGTTTTCCAATTGTATGTATCTGAGACTTTTCCCTAGTTCCTTTGTTATGAAACTTTAAAACTTTGTATTTCCTTAAATTCTTGCGGTTGGAATTATAATTTGCAATGCACAAAGAGGATGCAGATTACTTGAAAACATTAGGAGTGGTGTAAGATCAGAACTGAATGAACATTTGCAAAACTGTTCCTTAGTATAAAGTAAATTAAAGGAACATTCTCAAAAGTATTGTTTGCCCTACAGCCTCCTGAGTTATTGAAATAGTTACAGTCAGAAAGTGTCTCTCAGTTTCTCCAAATAGTTTAGTTCTTTTATCTCATCCTGTAAAACAATACATAGAAAAGTTTTCTGCATATTGTAAATGTACAAGAGCATTCAAATCAGATGAAATTTTCAGTAGGAATAAGATTGAGGAAGAAAAAAAAATCCCAATTCTGATCAAAATGACCAAGCTCTTTCAATTTTTTAAACTGCCACAAAGCTGATTTTCTTGTTAATGTGTTTTCTGAGATCCTAGAATGAATACAAAGCTTGCCAACTTTTGTTTCTACTCATTGTTTATTATTAGATCATTGTTTATTATTAAAACATTTTCTACTTTGTTATCTTTTTTTTTATTTTTGTTTAGTTTAAAAAGAACACATCAAGCAGTTGGATTGAGCTCTCAGATTGGCAAATCTGAAGCCTCCCCCGGCCTCAAATGGAAGTTTCTTGGGGTGTACATGTTCTCCCTTAGAATTTGCTGCCTGTATAAAACCCTGATTTTATTATGCACACAGTGGGGCACTCTTTGCATTATCGCTATGCCCCAATTTTAGAGGGCTAGAAACGCCCAAATATTTTATTTCGTTCTACACTTGTCTAGAATTTGAAAAACGTCTTTCTCTCTGCTCAACGACACATGGTGAGTAGAGTCCTTTGATTGCCACACATTGAGTGGAGTGCAGGTAAAGTTTTAGCCTTGACTGTCCCAGAGGTGTTTTTCCAAAAGACAGTTGGACTGTCTTGTTTTTTTTCTTTTGTTTAAGAACGTTTTGCTTCTCCTCTAAGAAGCTTTTTCAGGACTTCAGAACTGAAGAATCTTCTTAGATGAGAAGCGAGACCTTTTCAAAGGAAAATAAAACCAAGGAAGTCCGTTTGGCCTTTTGGAAAAAAGCCTCTTTGGGGACAGTCATGACCTGGAGGATTGAGAATCTCCACAACTCTCACTTTTTGGTGTCTTGTGTGCAGTGTTGACTTTTCCCCTTTGGTGTCACTCGCTTTTCCTGTGCGTTGAGGCTTCTTGCAGTAGAAATGATTTCTACTTTAAGGTCGCTCGCACGTAAGCGACGCTTGGTATTCAAATAGGACGGGAACAGATGGCTAAGGCGTTTCTTTCATTTCAGAGAGGGGGCATCGTGTCTTTTAGCTTGTGCCTTCTCTGTGAAGTTCCTGTCTTTAAACCATGTCAAGTCAAAATGATGTGGGCGGGTTGGATAAAATGTATTAAAACGTATAATAAGCCCCTCCGCCTTCCATCTCCTCATTTAAGCCAAATTGAAACAGGGATGGCTACTTCCTAAAGCCACTTGTAACTGGAGAGGCAGGAGTTATATTCGCTCAAGGGCAGTGAAATCAAATAATCAAATCTTGGTGCCCAAGCTTTGGGGTGTGTGTGTGGGCATCTCTTAAAAGGAGTTTGCTAGATCTGATTTGGAGTCTGTAAAAATAACCAGGCGAAAGAACGAATTGGGTATTTATTATTTCTTCAGACCCAATGAAACTTTGCAGAATTCTTAAGTCAAGTCTCGGCTGGTACTTTTGTGCAGAAAGTACAACTAACTGGGATGCATTTGGTAAAAGGTTATGGCATTGTGTGCAGAGAGACTCACGGATTCCAGAAGCTTTATAAAACCCAGCCAGGAGATGGTATGAAATTTTAATTGGGGAGCAACTGCATGGCAATCTCTAGATCAATTGAAATCATGAAACAGAACAGATTTGTTTAAAAAACAGAAGTAGATGTCTAATTAAAAACAGAAAGCTTTTAAAGGAAACAAGTTAGGGAAGGCACGATTTGGCTTGTTCCTTATTTTGTCGTCCTGTACGCATCTCCTTGGAAATTAATCCCGTTAACATAAGTGAGACTTTCTTCTAAATTTGCTGTAAATAATTGTCACATTTCTTAGCCATCCGATCCTACTGTTGAATTCCGAGTCATCATCTTCTTTTTTTCCTTGGAAAGCAAAAACCCCCAATCCCGTTACTTTTGACTTCATGCTTTGTTGATGAAGGACGTGAAATAACCTTCTCTTTGGGAAATGACAAACAGCTGTCCTTTGATTACAATAAAAAAAAGCCACACATTATTTATCTTTGATGTTCCCGTAACTGACAGCTGACAATGTTCCTATACATTGCAGCTTGAAACAAAACTCTGTATAGAAACTGGATTGCAGAACTGTGAAAGGAGAATTTATAAGAAGTCTGGGGCTCCTCTCTTTTTCTTATGTCAACATTTCTTAATTAACCTTAGGCGTATGACTTTAAATTCAACAGTGCATTCTGACGTGGTAACCCCACAGAAGGTCGATCTTTTGCACCTGGAATGTGAAATTGTCAAGAGACTTTTGATGTCTTTGTGCAGCTGGGATGTGACTTTGCATTGGCCCCCTGAATGTTATTTGACCATTACAATCTTCATTCTTCTTCCTTTTTTGCCTCTTCCTCCTCCTCCTCCTCCTCCTCCTCCTCCTCCATCACCATCCCTTCCTCTTCTAGAAGCACAGATTTTATTTATTTTTTAAAAAATGCCATGCTTCTTAAATTATTTTTTTTCTAGTACAGCAACATCTTTAAACCATAGTAGTTTCTACT